AGAATGTCAAATGGAAAAGTGCCATTGCAGTCATATATCAATCAGGCGTGCGGCCGCAGCAACACACTAGCAAATGGGAATGCCACGGAAATGTGAGGCGCTCGTTATCGGGGACTCACAGCCGCTGCCCACCACTCGGCTCCCTTCCACGGAGCATCTTACGATGGGAACAGCGTAGGAGAACAAGGACAAGGAAGTTCTCCCCACCTCCCTCTTTTTTTTGGTGCCACGGAAATATTAAAGGGCTGAATGAATATATGATTCTTTTGCAAGCATGTGGCTGACATAAGGATGCTCATTCAGCAATAGACACCTAGTTTAGGAAATACAAAGACAGTAGCATTCTGTTTTAATGATTCTGCTGCTGACTGGGACGAAGTTTGAAATTCTAAGAGAGGGAAATGATAGGACTCAGAAATCTGTCTCGGGCAATTCTTACTGAAGCAAGTGCAAAACGCTGCCCTATTTTACCACGATGTGCGTGGGTGGTGAAGAGTTCCTTTTCTTTCTGAGTTGTTCATCCATTAAATGATTATGAACAACATATACAGGATTCAATTCACAATGGCGCTTTAATAAGCGCTTTCATCTGCAGCATTTACAATAAAACCTCAGATGTGATTTAGAAACAATGAGAATGTTTAGCCCATGATTCCTGGAGATACATGAGGGTCAGACTAACAGGTAAGGCCAACCCACCACATCACAACTCATAGGAAAGTGACAAAGGTAACTCTGTGCGTGGGTTAAGTACCTGCAGCTCAGTAATGCTGTTAGGAGTTGTAAGACTACAAAGAGAAAGATTTCATCATCCTTGCCCTTAAAAAAGCTTAAAATTAAGACAGAAAACCATCAGCAACTTTTATGGGAGATACAAAGAGCCATTTTAAAATTTTTTTCTGTCAAATAGATTCAGCCCCAGAATAATTTGTTGTATCAGTTACTAAGAATTAAACTGAAAGTAGGTTTTTTACAAAACAATATTTCACAGTGATCAAATATATCATAAACTTAAGAAGAAATTTCTCTTAGAAACTCCGTATAATTGTTGATGCTAAAACTGTTGTGTTGTACTGTAACAAGTCACTTATTATGAATTACTACATTGATAATCGCGTGACTACTTTTCTGCAAAATCTATACTACAGTTACTGATGTTCACAAGTGGTGGCTTAAAATGTTCAGTTTTACCTCTACCCTTTCATAAGAAGCACTGTTTTTTTTTCCCTCTACTTGGCAAACCCTGTCCACCTTGGACCAGCAGGTCATGAACAGAATCCACCTTCGAGGATAAAGGATAAAGGGCAAGTTCAAAGTCTTGAAAGAAAACCTGGCACTTGGCCGATGATGATAGTGGCTAAATGTCTTAAAAGCAGAAGATCAAAAAGCAAATGGAAATTGGACCTTAAAAATGGAAATAATCTGAAAGGGGAAATGACTTGTAGCTGAGTAAGAGCCATGGAAACAGTCATGAATATGTTTTCTGGCTCAATTTTGTGGGTCAGATTGGGAGGGAGGATAAACTCTTTGGCCACCAACATGTTCAAATAGAGCTTGAGGCTCATCCACCTTTTTTATTTCTCCTAAGAAATAACTTGCGGCTTTTTCAACACGTGTTCATCCCACTCCACCCTGTCACATTTTGCCTTTGGGTTCTCAGGGTCGCCCTATCTGCTCTGAAGCAACATGAAAAGGTACAGCTCTTCCTGGGCGGAATTTTCCAGCCTTCTACAATCTGCCCTTGTGAAAGCACACCACAGAAAGTGTAAAGATTGCAAATACACTGACTGCTTGGCCACAGAAGACAGGCTCTCTCCCAGATGGAGCCCCAACCGTTTCCTCCAGCCGTTATTCTGTCAGGGGTGGCGAAGAATACCATCTGCTGCCCCTTTCAAGAGGGAGGTTTTGCCTCCGCCCTTTGGGCTCTAGAGGACCCATTTCTAAGCCTGTCAATAGGTATCTGGCAAGCGCAACTCTTTTCATCACATTGCCATGATTTTTAGAAAGGTCACTGTGGCACCTGTGGTGATTTTACCGGCTATCATTGATGTTGCTGAAAAAGAAGAGCTCTCTGTAAATTTCCATTTATGCAAAAAAAGGGATGAAAATACCCCTGCTGTTATTTCATATGCATTCAGGGTAGGGAGGTTTGCAGAAAATGTCTGTCAGCTGGGTGGGAAAGCCTGCAAGGGACCACTTCTGAGCCTTTTATTTGTATTGCCAGTTATGTTTTCAGGTCGCACCTCTCTTTCTTGATGGTCCTAAAGAACATTTGCAGGAGTTGACCAACTTCCAAACACCTTTAGGAAGATGGGTAATCCTAAGGGAGGTGGGAGGCAGAACCTGAAGGAGCAGGTGTTTCTTCTCTCCTCCTCAGGGTAACTGGAGGAGCCAGGTGTGACCAAGCCTGTTCCACCTGATGAGCCATCAGGAGGAGTGACCATGATGTGCAGATCTTAGGAGGTTATTCCCTGTGGTCAACACGGTCATTGAGAGCTAAGAGGCTACAGAAGCCAGTGTCAGGGAAACAGCGTCTAGCAAAGTGACGGTGGATATCTGGGAAACACAGGGCCCATGACAGCATCCTCAACAGTCTTTTTTTTTTTTTTTTTTTTTTATATCTGTGTTTGCCACCATTTTATGAGCCTGGATCTCCAGCTTTTCTGGTGATTTTATGAGCCTAAATCTCTAGCTTTTCTGGTAATTCTACAAATTGAACCCCATTCCTGCCCTGCCAAGATCCTGCCAATAAATGTCTTGCAGCTCTAATTAGCTAGAAATAGTTTTTGAGATTGGCGACCAGGCCAGACCTGAACTCTACATTTTCCAAATTTAGGCAAACTAACACCAACGTATAAATGGAAGTGCAGCCCCTAATTCCTCCTGGTTACTTTCCCAAACAAATTCTACAAATTGAACCCCATTCCTGCCCTGCCAAGATCCTGCCAATAAATGTCTTGCAGCTCTAATTAGCTAGAAATAGTTTTTGAGATTGGCGACCAGGCCAGACCTGAACTCTACATTTTCCAAATTTAGGCAAACTAACACCAACGTATAAATGGAAGTGCAGCCCCTAATTCCTCCTGGTTACTTTCCCAAACAAATGGTTTCAGGTCACTATCAATCTGCTATAGTCTCTGCTATATTATTTGGAAAGTAGAAAATTCTTACATAGCTATATAACAACATCCAAGGTGTGTGTGTGTATGTGTGTGTGTGCATGTGTGTCTGTATGTAATCCCAACATACAAACGTAGTCCATTAGACATAGTTTATAATTATCCATGAAAATACTAATCATTTTATTGTCCTCAGGTATATGATTGTGTTTATTCATTCATCGATTGATTCAAAAATACCTGTTAATAATAACTACTTAATGAGTATTTTCTCTTTTCTGGATTCTGTGCCAAATATTGTATATATGTTATTTCTTTCAGAGAGGTATACGACAAACTTATAAGATAGATACTATTATTATCTCTATTTTATAAATGCAGAAATTGACGTTCTGAAAGGTTATGTGATTTTGCTTGTGGTTGACATAGCAATCAAATGGTAGATATGAATTATGGCTTTCCTGTCTCCAAAGGCAATGGCTTAACTACTGTGCCGTGCTGCCCCCACTCAACAGAAATTCCCTGAACAGTGCCTTTATAGTGAGACTCTGCTATTTGTGGTGGAGACAAGTAAAGCAAGGTCACAAGTAAATCCAGTTAAGGTGTTTATGATACTATAGGGAAGAGATAAATATTGGCTTATGAAGATGCTGCAAGGTAGAATGTGATCAGAGCCAGAAGAAAAGCAAAAGGTACAATAAGAGGTAGTGATATATCCAGGAGAACTCAATTGAATCTGAGTTTCAAAGATACAGAGTAGGAGCCAGAGGATGAAGGTGTGTTCATGGAGCAACACATAATTAGGCATTTTGGCTGAACCTAAGCTTATGTCACAGTGAGTCAAGAGAACGTGGTAGGCAGAGTGGAGTGAAGCTAGAGAGCAGGGGTCAGAGGGAGTTAAAAAGGAGAGATTAGTCTAGGCACGGTGGCATAGTGGTAATGCAATTCTGTGCTATGCTCAGGTTACATGGGAAGGTCCCAGGTTCATGTCCTGAGGTCTCTACACATGCTAGGTATACACATACATGCACATGAGCCTGGCTGGCTGAAGCTGGAGGTAAATGGCAGCCTGAGGACCCTTTTGAGGGTGTCACCTCTCTCTCTCTCTCTCTGAAGAAACAAATAAATAGACTTTAAAAAGTAGAATGGGAAGCCACTTTATGACAAAGAGGTTATGTAAGTAGAAGAAGACAACTGAATCAGAGGAGCAAAAATAAGTAACATGGCAGCAGTACAAATGGGTAATTTAATTCAACCACACATGCATTCAACAAATTTTCTTTTATAAAAATAGCTAATTTTTGGTTCAACTGTGGTGGTGCATGTTGCTAAAATGCTGTGATCCACAGTCAAAGACCACATAGAGACAGAAAAAGGGAGGAGAAGAAAGTATCCCCTTAATGGGGTGTGATCGTACTACAATATCTTCTCTTTCATTTCTCCATCCTATCAGGATTTGGTGCATTCATGCATATGCACCTGGTATATTTTTTAAACTGAAGGAGCTGGAATTTAAACCACAGTTGGTCATGTGGGATCCTGCTCCCTTAGCCACACAGCTATAAAGTTGGCCAATGACTTACATTTTTAGAAGCTCATTCTGTCTCATATGTAGAGATGAGTCAGGGGCAGATAAGGAGCTGGAAAAGGGTAAAGAGTAGCAGGAGAAGATGTCATTTAAGAGTCCTAGGTGGAAGGAGGTAGCTCACATTAACACTGAAGTACTGGAAATGGAGTGCACTGAATAGATTTGTTTTGGGGGTAGAATATACAGAACTTGTTTTGGATTAGGTGTGGAGGTGAAAAAAATAAAAATCATGATGCAGTGAGGGAAGTACAGGTTTGGTGAAGGGTGGAGCTGGA